TGGTTTTCACAACGGGACTGGAAGGTGGTGGTTTGGATGTGGAGGGGCTGGTCGTGACCCCATTGTCATGGTCAGACCACTTCCTGGTAAGGTTTAGTCTATTAGCTTCTTCTTCCCTTTGCAAGGGAAGGGAAATCTATTAAGATGATCCGCCCCTGGAGACTAATGGATCTGGATGGTTTCCTGAATGCTCTGGGGGTTTATCCATCTGATATGGTCGGCACTCCTGTTGAAGCTCAGGTCACCGTACAGAACAGAGAGATGACCCGGGCAGTTGACACGATTGCGCATAAGCGCCCTCTCCCTGAACGCAGAGCCCAGACAGCTCCTTGGTATACATCTGAAATGCAGGCGATGAAGCAAGATGGGAGATAGCTGGAGTGCAGGTGGAGGAAGTCCCGCTGGGAGTCCGATCGAACATGACTTAGAGCCCATTATTGGGCCTATTTCATGGCAATACAGCTGGTGAAATGGCAATATTTCTCCAGCTGTATTGCTTCCTCAGAATGTCATCCACCAGAGCTGTTTTGGGTGGTCTGGGATCTTCTTCAACCGGGAAATCCAGTTGAGGTCCTGGACTGCTCATCAGCTCACTGTGATGAGTTTGCCATTCATTTTGAGGGAATCACAGGATGCGTCCAGTGTGCCACGCTTAGGTCAAGTATTAGTGGTTGAGTATCAATTATTGAGACCTGAGGATGTGGACAGGGTGCTTGGATCTGTCCATTCTACCACCACTCCGCTCGACCCTTGCCCAACTTGGCTAATTGGAAGATCTGCTGGGGGGTTCGCACCTGGGTCCAGGAGGCCATGAACGCCTCTTTGAGAGAGAGAGTGGTCCCTACCACCTTGAAACCTCCCTTATTTGGGCAAAGTGTTGGAGCGGGTTGTGGCCGAACAACTCAAGGTGTTGATGGATGAAATGGATTTTCTGGATCCATTTCAATCGGGTTTCAGGCCGGGTTTTGGTACGGAGACTGACTTGGTCACCCTATACGATGACCTTTGCTGGGAAAGAGACAGGGGGAGTGTGACCCTGTTGATAATCCTGGACCGCTCAGCGGCTTTCGACACCATCAACCATGGTGTCCTTCTAGATAGGCTGGCTGGGTTGGGAGTTGGGGGCACTGTTTTACGGTGGTTCCTCTCCTTCCTAGCTGACCGTGTCCAGAAGGGGGTGCTGGGGTACAGTTGCTCTGTCCCATGGCGTTTATGTCATGGAGTTCCTCAGGGCTTGATACTGTCCCCCGTGCTGTTTAACATCTACATGGAACCGCTGGGAGAGGTCATCAGGAGGTTTGGGCTGACGAGTCAGCAATATGCTGATGACACCTCTCAGCTCTACCTCTCATTTTCCACCAATCCAGGCGAGGCAGTTTCTGTGCTGAACTCATGTCTGGACCTGATGACGGACTCGATGAGGGTTAATAAACTGAAACTCAATCCAGACAAGATGGAAGTGCTGTTAGTGGGTGCTTCACTGGACAGGTTGGAGGGCCATTTTCCTGCCCTGAATTGGGTTACACTCCCCCTAAGGGACAGGGTCCCCAGCCTGGGGGTGCTTCTGGACCTCAGTCTAACTCTGAAAGCCCAGGTGGACTCAGTGCCCAGGGGTGTCTTCCTTCAGCTGCGGAAATTATGCCAGCTATGGCCCTACCTGGATGAGTGGAGTCTCATGACAGTTACGCACACAGTGGTAACATCTCGTATAGATTACTGCAATACACTCTACGTGGGGCTGCCTTTGAAGATGGTCCAGCGACTGCAACTGGTCCAGATTCGAGCTGCGCAGCTGGTGAGTGGTGGGGCCAATAGGGGACACGTCAAGCCGATTCGGTTTAACTTACATTGGCTACCAGTTGTTGCCCGGGCCCAAATCAAAGTGTTTGTTTTGACATATAAAGCCCTAAATGGCTTGGGTCCTGGATACCTGAAAGACCGTCTCCTTCCATATGAACCTACCCTGCAGTTAAGATCTAGCCAGGGGGCCCTTTTGAAAGACTCAAGGAGGTAAGAGGAATGTCTTGAAGACAAAGGGCTTTTTTGGCAGCTGCCCCCAGACTATGGAACACCATCCCAATTGAGATTAATCTGGCGCTGAAGCAGGTCAAAACCTTCCTGTTCCAGAAGGCTTTTAATTGAAATAATATCAACTGTGTATCCTGATGGCAATTTTAGAGTATATATTTTAACTGTATTTTCATTATCTTTTTTTTACTGTATTTTAATCGTTGCAAGCTGCCTAGAGACCTTTGGGTAGTGTGGGCGGCATATAAATTAAACAAACAAACAAACAAGCACAGCGTTAGACACCTTAAACTATCAACTGCGATTTGTGAGATAAGGGTTCCCCCACTGCACCAAGTTGACACCACCGACTCCTCCCGTGTCTACCTTGAATCGGCGAAGAGAACTTCTGGCAGGGCACAGGGCAAGGGCCGCCTTCTCGTTCCAATGCCCCGCTCCCCAGAGAGAGGGGCCGAGGGAGGGAGTCGGGCTGGAAAGGTGACATTCAGGGCCCCCGGACTGCAAAGTCCGCATTGGCGAAAGCTTCCTTTCAAGGGAGCCCAGTCAGGCATGTCCTAATCGGCCCCTTTCTCCCTCCCCCTCACCAGTCCTTCGCCAGGAGGGCGGGAGAAACTGCAG